AGAGCGAAAGGAATGAGAGACGGACCCACTGCAGCGCGCGCAATTCATTTGTCTTTCCCTGTGGTTTTATACACCCCGCATAATTTAGGAAAAATTTCATCATATTTTTATATAATTTCTGATTATTTTCCTTTATCATTCTTTGCTAAAATTAACAGAATCACATAATTTCACATTTTTGGGCTCAGTTTGCAGAATTTCAAAATTTTTCTTGCATAAAATGACAGGGACAGATTTGTTGTTGATTATAAACAACATTCGCCCCCAAATTTTGGGAGGCGAGGCGTATAGGTAACCCCCCCCCCTCCCCCCGCAAAAAAAGGGGGAGGCGAAGGTGAACCCAGTGTGTGTTGCACGTTAGCACCGGGTGCCCAAGTGCCCACTACGGCTGGATCGGGCCGATCGCCCGACTCGGTCGCCTGAAATTGAAAACAAACACGTTTGTTTTTCATTTTGAGACAACCGAGTCGAGCGATCGGCCGATCCCACCAGTAGTGGGCTCCCCGTATATAACGCACGAAGATAAGAAGGAGGAGAGATTTTAGTTTTTTAGTAAGAGTTTTACGGCACTCGCTACTGCATAAGGTCATATGAGCGCCAGAAGATTACAGGTGTTACAAGAGAGTAACAAATACGATAGATGTTTGATAGGAAAGAAGAAGCAAACCACACCAGAGCACCCGCCAACCACCCACGGAGGAGAGATGAGGGGGGAAGGAAGAGAGATGAGGAGGGAAGGAGGAGAGATAAGGAGGGAAGGAGGAGAGATGAGGGGGGAAGGAGGAGAGATGAGAAGAGATGAGGAGGGAATGAAGAGAGATGAGGGGGGAAGGAGGAAAGATGAGGAGGGAAGATGTTTGATTGGAAAAATCAAGGGGAAGGCCACACGGAACCTGTAGAAAGACTCAAAGAGTCACGCAGAATGACATGCAGAAAAATGGAAAGACAAGGAAGAAGTTGAAGAGGCTAGCCCAGGATAGGGGAAGGTGGAACGCCTTTGCTCGCGGCCTATACCCTGATGTCGGGCGAGAAAGACAAAGATGATGGTAATTAATTAATTTTTTTTCCTTCAGGGATGCCACTCAACTTTTTAGAAAATAGCTGATAACGCACGCGCCACGACCTCGCTAACATTATGAATATCAATTTTTGAAACCTCATTTTTTCTTGTTTTTTTCAACTGTAGATTCTATCTCGATCTCAATAACGGAATAGCGGATCAGGATCAAAATACCGGAAAAAAGCGGAAAAGTGGCAACCGTGTTCCTGAATGGGCCTTGTGGACTCCACGAAGAAATCTTCGAGCGAGAGCGGGGTTCTTTTTCGGCTCCATTGTCGTTATACTTAGAGGCACCTCCACTCGTCCAAATATCTCCATTCGAATTGATGATGATGATGATGATGATGATGATGATGATCCTCTTTGTTAGGCCCATTTCCATGCTAGTAGTATACAGCGCCCATTTCGTTTTTCTCTCAGTTGCTCCTGAGGAAGCCCAAGAGGCGAAACGTTGAGCTGTGTCTAGTAATAGTATTCAACAAGTTTTTGTTTTCATTTTTTATTTTTGTTTTTTGTTTGTTTTGGGGTTGTTGTTGTGGGTGTGGGTTGTTGTTGGGGGTG